TTTCAGTAATTTTATTGGTATATAAAAATGTTACAGATTTTTGGCTGTTCATTTTGTATACTGCAACAGTATTGAATGCGTGTTCCAATAGTATTTTGGTGGAGTCTTTACATTTTTCTATAGATAGTATCATATCATCTGCAATCAGGTGTAATTGAACTTCTTCCCTTCCTGTTTATATGCTTTTTATTTCTTTCTTTTGTCTAATTGCTCTGGCTAAAACTTCCACTGGAGGTTTTGAAAAGCATAAAGTGATCAATATGTATTTACTGAGCATTGGCTATATGACAATGTTAGGTATTAACATAATATGAAATCGTGTGTGAAAAATCATGTGAGATATGAAAATCATAAAGAGTGTGAAATATGAAATCATAAAACTAACAATTTTAAATTTGTGAAATACTTTTTTATTTGCTTGATCTCATTTGATCTAAATCATGTTTTCTGTTCTCAAAGCTTACAGATCTTCTTATAGATCTTTACAGATCTTGTTATAGATCTTTCCAAATAAATGTAAAGGGGAAGGCAATTTAGCACATCTGTATCGTTCTGATTATACTCCTGAAAGTCACTCTGAGATAGGACTTAAAGTATGGGGTTAAATGTTTGGGATCCATGGGTAGGACTTGAGTTGGCTTTGTAAGGTTTCTTTATTGCCAGAGACAAAGCTTTGAAGGAAATTACAAATAATCATGGTGGATGAACTGACTTCTCTCAAAGCACTGTTGCTTTGTCTGGCGGGCCCTTACCCTGAATGTGGCAGATTTTACCACATAACACTTTAATTTTTATATGTTACATTTTGATCTTTGACTCTAAATAAACATTTTCTATGGATAACTTAACCTGATGACTTCTACTTTAAATGATTTCTAATAATGCCATATGATGGCTGGTTGGGGTGTTAGATCAAGGTTTGGTGAGGAAATCCTATTTTTCTCTTTTTTCTTGTTTTAAAATTATATCAGATTCTTGTTGCCTCAGGGAACATGACTTGACTGAATGCAATGTTATTATGTGATGCTGGAGAGTAGTCTAAAGATAAAAATCATAAATGTTCAGTGATTTATCTTCCTAGTTCCAGTATGCTAAAATCATTATTTCTCGTATTTGCATTGACATTCCAACCAATGACATTAATCACATTCAAAGATTTCCCTTGTTCTTGAAGTCTGCTGGGGTAGTTCAGCACCATTTCACAGAAAATGTTATATAATAAATCTATAAATTCTGCAAAGAAAAAAAAAAAGAACTTGAGATGGGGGCTGGAACAGAGTTGCTCTCACGGGCAAGGACCAGCTGAAGCTCATGGGAAAACAAAAATGAATTGATTTACTTGTGTTTGACATGTATGAAATAACCACAAAGAGAATGAGATATCAAAAGATGGATTTAGGGGAGACAGATGTGATGGTTCAGGGGAGGAAAAGAACGGCAGAGAAGGGGGGAAGCTGCATGTGAGTAAACTATTTGTCATTCTTCATCCAGATAATGAGATTAAATCTTTTTGCCTCCATTTCCAATTGGAATGGCAATTAACAAGTTATTGGCAAAGGACTTTGAAAACCCATGCAAAAATGCTTAAAACTGTTTTTTTTTTTGTTTGTTTGTGATGTTAGGAATTGAACCTAGGACCTCACATATGTTAAGCAAGAGCTATACCATTGAACTATATCCTTAGAGCCCTGCTACCTTTTAAAACAGAGCCTTGCTAAGTTGCCCAGGGTGGCCTTGAACTTTCCATCCTCCTAATTCACACTCCAGAGTCACTAGGATTATAGATGGGTACTACCTCATCCCACAAAACTTTAATGAATTTAAGTCATCATAATGTCTAAGAATGGCCAGAGAAGGTCCTATGGTCTTCATGAGGGTATATGCTACTTAGAAAAAGTTATCCAGAACACTCATCTCCATTTTAATAACAAGTATATACTTCATTATAAATGCCCCCAAGAAAATAGGAGTAAAATGACCTTAAGATTAAACATAGATATCCCAAAGTCTAAAATTTGCCAAAGATCTCTCTGGCTTGGATTGTGATTATTTTATTTAATTTGATTGATTAATTTATTTTAAACCAAAATGTAAGGTTAGTTTACATACACCTTATCCCAAATAAATATTTTCCTATATTTTCAACTTTTTAAACTTATTCTTTCACTTATTTTTCCTATTATTGGTACATGCTGGCCAGGATATTGAGAGGAAAACTTTTACTGTTTTCTTTTCCTTCATCTGTAAATACCCCTCTTCTTAGCAGTTTGTTCATGCTGCCAAGATGTGAATGTCCATGTTTGAAGAATTTTTTTTAGAGAAATCCTTTTAGCAGAACTCAATCCTATTTAATGGAGAAAAACCACATGATTAAATGAGGACTCTCCCAACCTTCTACTATCTAATCTGTAGATTCTTCTGCAAAATGTGCACTATTTTATCCATTTTATCCTTCTCCTCTCTCATAGTCCTGTCCCCTGTCTAAGATGAATCCTTGCATATAGTCTGTGGGTCCCAGCCCCATCTTTCCTTTTGCCCTCTCAGAGACCATTAATAACTCTCTCTTCCCCAATCCCTTCTCTTCTGGATCCTTTCCATTGGTATTCAAACACAGTCAAATATCTCACATGTTCAATAGCAACAATAAAATAACAATAATAAAAACAGGAGTAGCAGCAAACATACCCAAACCCAAACCCTCAGACCTATACCTTAACTCTTTTAGTTCATAGTGCTCTCCTCATTCCACTGTAACCTGGCTTCTTTTTCTTTTTCTTTTTTTCTTTTTAGTTGTAGATAGACACATACCTTTATTTTATTTATTTATTTTTATGTGGTGCTGAGGATGGAACCCAGTGCCTTACATGTCCCAGGCAAGTATTCTACCAACTGAGCTATAACCCCAGGCACCTGTTATCTGGCTTCTGTCCCTATCCCTCTTTCTCTCCCCATGCTTCTGGTCTTAGAGAATGGCAACAATAACCACTGAAGCCTAGCCTAGGAATTAATCTAACTTTCCCAGTTTTCTTCGCCTCCCACATACAATTAATCACCTGGTTCCGTTCATTTGGTTACTAAATCTCTCAAATCAATCTCCTAGCTTCTTTCCATCCCCATTGCCCCTCCCTAATGTGGAGGATGTATTTCTCTTTCCACATGTAGGTGATGGGGTGGCTGAAGTCCATTGCTGCGTGATGAGGTCACAAAGACTTGGGGTGCCGATGACTGCGATTGCAGAAGATCTAGTCTCTGGAGATTTCTTGGCCATTTTCACACCCTCCTTATGGGTGTTTTCTGTTTAAAATGTTGACTTCTGCATTTTTCAGTTGGTTCCCTTCCACTTTCCTGGCATTTTCGTCTAATTTATGCAGGATACTGTTGTTGCTCTTACAAGCTCTGAGCTCACAATTGTCATTTTAGCTCTGTGGTCAGGGCCTGGCTCTGACCCTCACCGGCTATATGATCTTGGACAGATCATCAGCTCTTAATTTCCTTACTTGTAAAATAAATGGCTTCCCCTAGATCAGTGGGTCTCAACCCTGGCTGCACATTAGAATCACCTGCTGAGCTTTCAAAACTCCTAGAGCCCAGGCTAGAACTTAGATTAATGACATCAACATCCTGATGCCTGGGCCTCAGGATTTTTTATTTAATTTAAAATGTTTCATTATTTTTTGATCAGTTTTCTTTTAAGTTCCTCCAAAGCTCCCAATGTATAGATAAAGTTGGGAACCATTGACAATGCTTTTTATAGGACCTTTGCTCTACCATTATTTCATGTTTTCTTATGCCCCAATCCCAAGTCGAGGTTTCTCTTCTTTTACATGTTTTTACTAAGTTGGGAAGAAATAGCTGTGAAGCTCCCCCCCACCCCCTTCCATCTGCTGTTTGTTCTTATTTACATACGATGGAACCCAGCCCACTGATTTACAGCTCTGGTTCCCTTACAACTGTTATTGAACTGAAAACATAGCTGAAAACTTATTAAACAGAAAAAAAATTATTTTGAGCTTCCTGCCTACAATTCCTTATAGAACAAAGGAAACATTTAAACTGTTTTCCTTCTAGAGGTAATGTTAAAATTGATTTATAATCCCATAATCTCAAATTTAACTTATTTCTGGGGCCAGACCTCAATATTTATTCTTTCTTGGGTGCCTATTAAGGAAGCCAGAGCATCTCTGTAGGAGATGGGATTTTGAAGGGTATGCACCCACAGACAGGCATAGCCTCCTCATACTGCTGTGTGGCTTCTGAAATTAAGTGTCATGGTCTTTTTTCTCCCAGTCCTCTCTTAGCCTGTAGATGCTGGCAGCAAAGCTAAGGAAAACTTGTCCTCTTTGTGAATGTAGCCTCACTCTTTGAATTTCTGGGAACAGGCCTTTTAGAAGATGTTCTGTAGAAGCTCCCTTTGTATCTACCATTCTAGATCTGAAATAATGGGACTTTGCTGAGCTAAAAGAGAGTAGAGAGGAGGGTAGAAAGATGATAGAGAACAGCCAAGCATTTGATTTGACCAGTGGCACTCAATTTGGGAAGATTTGGGGTCTTGGCATAAGTCTGATTCATGTTGGCAAAGTAATGGAGTAATGGCCCTTCTTGCCTGTTTCTTGGTTAACAGTACCACTTCCAACTGTTTGTTCACTTTCTTCTGCAATACCTATCTGAAATACACAGTCTGTGCCTTTATTAGTCTTTCTCAGATCCCTATTAAATTATTGAAATTGGCTTAAGCAGATCACCTCCTAGTCATAACCTATTAGAAATAATAAAAACACATTATCCTTTTGCAGCTGGGCTATCCAGTTATTCTCATGGAAAGAAAAGGCTATAATCTACTGGTTTTAGAATAAATGCTGCCAGAATATGGGGTCAAGCTGGAAAAACCTCTTCCTCATCATATTGAACATTGAACTATTTCTACACAAGCTAATTTTAGTTCAGAAAACCTTGTCTGAAGTTTTTGTCTTTGAGACTTCTTCTTTGGTATTTTCTTGTAGATGGAGGAATTGATTGAGGGTGTTCGCTGGGCCTTCATTGATATGCTGGAGAAAGAAAATGACTGGATGGATGCAGGGACGAAAAAGAAAGCCAAAGAAAAGGTAAGAATTCCTTTTGATGAACAAAATATGATTTCTGGTTTAATGGATTTTCATGATGACATTGACTATGTAGTTGATTTTTATATTGACTGAGCTGTTGGTTCTGAATGAGCCCAGATTTAGGTGTGTGCTTTTGGATGAATAAATAGATTTCATTACTGGGGGTTAAGAGAAAATAACATCTGACTTTTTCTTTCTCTAACTGCATTTTCAAATACCCAAAATAATTCAGCTTTCCCTTCTAATTGCTGTCTATAAGAGCCTCATGGCCTGCTACCTAGTGAATTTTGCCATAAGCCACCATTGGATATGGCAGAATGCAGAGCAGTTGGGAGCCATCCGGAGCAGCTGGCAGAAGAGCCCTCAAGATGCAAAGAAGAAGAAAACCTGTATTGGCCATGTGTCCTTCTTCTCTGTGCATTATGTGTGCAAATGTCCTGAGGCAAATCCTTTCCAGTAACCAAATAGATCTACTTCTTAGCCCATCATTTAACACAAATGATCCAAAGACCATGCTTATCAATTGTGGACCAGTAGTAGACCATTGTGTAGGAGTACAAAAGTTAGCAGTAGACACTTGGTGGGCCTTGTAAATTTTTCTGATACCATAAACAAGATAAGGGAATAAATGAGGAAAGTATTAACAGTATTGCTTTTTAAAAATAAAAAATTGAGCCCATCTTAAATTCTAGGTATTCTGATGGAACTGGAGCTCTAGTGGGTATAGCATGCCTGGTACACTGTTCATGGATGCTACTCTGCAGCTGGGAGACTATAAAATCTGGAGCATTTTTTTCTTTCAAGAGGTGTTTTGAAACCTTTCTGATAATAGCTATCACCTGGGATGCCTAGAAATTTTATAGCTTTCTGGATCCCCTTCCCAGCCTGGTTCATGGATCTAGGATACAGTCTGAACATTTGTGATTTAGGCCAGTGTGATTGTTATCATTAGGGAATCATACTGAGTCATCCTGGGCACTAAATTATTTTTTGTTTTGGTTCTGGAGACCCAAAGGGCTTTGTGCATGCTAGATAAGCACTGTACCATTGAGCTATATCCCCAACCCCAAGCATAAATATTTTTGCATTATGATCAAGAAACAAAGAGGGCAACATTCTGGGAATGCTTAGACTTATTGAAATGGGAGTGTGCAGAAGTTTAGCAAGGATATTTTCTAGAGCTTTAATATGACCTTTTTTTATGTGAAAAAGCTATTCAGTGTTTCTAGTGAAGACAGAATTTGGGTGGTGGGTGGGGGAGTGTTGGCGGAAGACAAATGGTAAATTTGATTTTGTTTTCCCCTCTAAGGTCTGTCAAAGCTGTCTTTTAAGTCATGAAAGGTCAGGAGTGCACAGAATGTTATGGAAAGTGCTCCAGAAGGTAGATATCTGGGATATCTGGAACAGAATTGGGCAGTTGAGGCCTCAGCATATTTGGGGCTCTTTATCCTAACTCCTTAGGGACTGGGGTAGTGTATGTATGAATTAGTTCAAGGCCACAAGGGTGGGGTGGATTGTGAGGGTGTGTGTGTTTTATGAATGGACAGATGCTTGGGAATGTTCTGGAAACTTCAGTCAGTTCTTTGAGAAGTATGCATCAAGATTGCCTCCAGGCAATCTTCCTAGTTCCATAAGGGAGTGGGTGCCTTACAATTGGGCTTTCTAGGGAAGCAGATCATACCTCCTTCTTAAAGGAGAACTCTTCCCAGTATTTCTAATATTAGACGTGTTGTGTTCTTGCTTGCCCTCTGAGTTGCTCTCCAGTCTTCGATTTTATTTCATGAGAGCTGTCAGTTTTTCTTCTAAAAGTAGTCTTTGAACACTCTGCTTTCTTTGAGCTGAGTTCAATCTGCCAGGAACTTTGCTAGTTCCTCGACAGGTACAAATATCAAAGGCAAATTGTCCTCCTGGATCTCCCTAGGTTCCCCAGGTATATTTTATCTTTCAGATTTCAGAGTAGTGCCTTTAATGAAAGGCAAGAATGAAGGATGTTTCCAAGAATTTCCAGCAATTCTCTGAGGCTCGTCCCGCCCTGGACCCCAAAAGATGGAGGTTTTCCTTCTCCAAATTAAATGAACTTGCAGTTCTAGAAATGACCTCTGGGTGGAGCTCATACTACTCATAAAGAACACAATGAGCTGACAGCTTTTATGCAGCTTTCTACTTTGGGCCTGTTTTTGAAAAAGAAAATTTTTTTCTTGCCCTTTTTCTCTGCTGTCCTCAATTTGATTGCCTTTTAATAGTCAACAAGAAAGGAGAGACTCTGCCTAATAATTCCTTGAATCTTAGATGGAAATCTCTGACTATCTCAGGGCTTTGTCTTTCTGATATGGAGTAGCCCCTGCATTAAGAAAGGATTTGCCTGCATTTGAAGTGGAGGTGAATAATTCGCCTTTTCTTCCTGGCATGACTTGGCACTGTTCTTTGGGCATGTGTTTTATGCAGTATATCACCCAGGCGGAAGATTTCTCATCAATAATAGTGCCCACATTGGGCCAATGCTGAGTCACTTGGCAACCCATTGGGAAAGCTGAAAAAATGTTCCCATTTGTGAGGAGCCGAAGCTTTTTTTTTTTTTTCCCTTGCCATGAAGCTCTGGACTGCAGCTAATTAAAGCTCCTCCTAAGAGGTGTCGACCTCAGCATTCTATAGTGACCAACTTCCTGAACTGGGTGGTCCAGATATTCACAGTGGTCTGAGGCCTAACCCCGTGGCTTTTGTGGCAGTGACCCCATCTCAAAATGGAAGTGTGTCCATGTGGCTTTGCTGCGCTCTTTACTGAGGGTGAACATTGTAAAAGATAAATGAGGGTGTCTCTGTTTCTGTGAAGGGTAAATTTGTTATCTCTGTCTCCCTGCCTTTTCCTGCTCATCTCTTAAGAGGTCATGGATGCTTTTGTGTGTTGAAACACATGGTGTAGCTTTCAAGTGCAAATTTGGTATTGTGAAATAAGCACCAGTTTTTGTTCAGGATTCTGCATTTCTTGCAAGCATGTACTCTTATTGTAAATAAGTAGCATAGGATGGGAGGCCTGCAATTTTTCTGGTAATCGAAGTCAGTGAATGAGTGTAAGATGATAAAAGAATGATTTGGGGGGTATCTTCTGGAGGATTTACCCTTGCCAGAGCAAAGGAAGAGGCTTTCAAGGTCAATATATAACGATTCCTAAATTGGGAGGGAGAAGGACTCAGTGTAACCTTCAGCCACCCTGGCCAGCTCAGGGTCAGATCGGGAGGAGCAGTTTTCTGAACAAGGCTCATCCCCAGCTGAACTGAATTATATAGCCAAATGCTGAATCCCTTCTGAAATGCTTGTTTGTGCTTTTTGTCACCAGGACCTAAGCTTGTTAGGCTACATCCAGAGAAAAATACCAGGATGGAAGTCACTGGGAGGTAGCATGCTGAGGATGCTGTGAGGGAGTTGCCTTAGCCACAGCAGGTGCAGAGAAGTCAGCTGTATGTTCCCATCTCCACAGGCATGAGACTCCCACACAGACTTTGAATGAAGAGGGAAGTGTTCTCTTGCAGAGGGCAAAACAGGAGTGTAGCTCACCTCTTTGCCTTTGTCTCTAAGCTCTGCCAATCCTAGGCATTGCATTTCCCTCTGGCATGCATTCTGGTACCACTAGTTAGTGCCCTGCCTGTGTCCTCAGCAAAGCCTGACAGGCAGCTCTAGGGAACTTGTTATGATGCAGATCCCTTCGACATACTGCCCTCCCCCCACACTCTAGGGGTGGGGCTAAACCCTTGGGTAATAAAGTTTGGGAACCAGTGACCTTGTCCTTACCACTTCATTGCTCACCTGTCTATCTTGTAGCTGCAGTCTCCTGCTTTTGCCTAAGAGCTTTCTCTTCCCACCGAGCCTGCTGTGTCACTCACATGGAGGGCCTGGAGTACAGTGTGGGGGGCACACCACAACTTCTTCAGCAGCCCTCAACCAACAATTGATGGGCAATGGTGTGTACTGCCCCAGCTTCCTCGTCCCTCTCCTGTGTTCTACAAGAGCTCCCGGGGCTTCCCCAGTGGGCTTGAGCTGCTTGGCAAGATGCCCTTTATTGACTGCCTTCCATTCTGCTCTCACTTCTCCGTGCCCCTCTGGTGTTTCTTTCACCTCCCAAATGAACTGCATGTGCTTGAATCCTTGTCTCAGGGTTTGCTTCTAAGAGGATCCCCACTGAGGACACAGCCCCAAGATTGTATGTTCCACACTTCCTTGCCTTGAAGGTGACAATGCATTTCACTGCATCTCAACAAACTCAATTCTGCAAACATTTCCAGCACAATGATGATGTGCCAGGTGCTGGGCCAGGAGCTGCGGATTCTGAATGAGGAATAGTCATCTGCAGTCACTCCTGTCTACAGGGCCCTTTATATTCCTAGTGTGGTACAGGAGTGCCATGGATGCAGGGGAGATAGGAGATGGTTTAATATCATGGAGATGCAAAGCAGTCCAGAGAATTTAGGGGAGGAGGCTTCTAAGGAGCCCAAACATGTGCATGGGGCATGCTATTCAGAGAGTGCCCACCCAGTTCCTTCCTCTCTCCCTCTGTTATGTAATCAGATCCTGTCACTGCCCATGTCCTTGCAGCCTATGGGCAAGGCTTCCTCTGGGCTCTTCCTACTTGCTAATTCCAGTAACTCTGCAACCAGCAGTCCTTGTCCCTTGCTAAATCACTTAACTCTCTTACTCCTGCTGCACTGCACATGCTCATTGTAAATTGATTTGTAGAAGAAAAGGAAAGGAAGGACTTTGGTCAAAGTCTCCTTCTCATCCGTATTACACCTGACAGCATATTTGTATAACTACACAAGAATGCAGTTACCCCAGCTAGGTGTGGTGGTGCATGCCTACAATCCCAGCTACTTGGGAGGTTGAAGTGGGAGGATTGTAAGTTCAAAAGCCGGCCTGGGCAATAGTGAGACCCTGTCTCAAAAAATAAAAAGGGCTGGGGATGTAGCTCAGTCATAGAGAGTCCCAGGTTCAATATCCAGTATTACAAA